TAACTAATGGGTGCAGCTATTTAGGCACAGATGGACATTTGTAGGTGTGGCTGTCTTAGACACAGAACCATAAGACGATGACTTTGTCATAGAAGATGAAGACCTACAAGACCTAAGAGCGCTGGGTGGAGGTGAGATGTACAAATACATCAGCGCCAGTAAATACGTGACTGGCAAACAGAAGAAAGAGCTACAATATATCCTGTGCCAGTATGCATATGTCTTTACAGAAAGACCAGGCAAGACAGACCTTGTGCAACACAAGATCGAGACCACGACCAGGGATCCAGTCAAGATTAAGCCATACAAAATGCTCTGTGATTAGAGATCTGATCACATAAGAAGTTGAGGTAATGTTAAAAGCTGGAATCATTGAGTCTTCAAATTAAGCCTACTGTTCGGCAGTGGTTATTGTGAAAAAGTGGGATAGCTCAATCTACTGCATAGATGTTTGGAAGTTGAACCTCGTGACGAAGTTCATCTCTAAGCCTATGAACAACCCCGAGACTATCGTGGCGAAACAAGATGGGGTCAAGTTCTTTTCCAAGATCGACCTTAGTAAAGGTTATTGGTAAATCCTGATAGAGCAAAGACAGAATCTAAAGAGAAGAGGGCCTTTGTGACATCAAATCGGTGCTACCAGTTCAAGAGGATGCTGTTTAGGTTAGTGAACTCAGCAGCAACATTCAACCACATGATGAGAAAGATATTGCATAAAACGGCTGTTTAAGTTTAATGTGAGAGTTAAATGTATCTATTTTTAGAAGCAACAGTGTATCGCAGGTGTAGTTCAATTGTTATGATGTGGTGCTTGTTGTATTATTGCATCATGTCACTAGAACCTTCTAAGTTTTCTCGTTGTTTTGATTGAGTATTATTACGTCATATATCTCGTAGTGTGTAGAAAGTTCTAGGCCTCAGTCTGGCTAAAAATACATGGACGAAATGTATTTCGAGTAAGTAAGACAAAGCTAGTTAGATAGAAATAGATCTAGACTGAGTGATTGTGAGTTTATTCATAAAGCGTGTATAGTGGCGATTTATAAAGCTGCATTATTACAGATTGCATTGTAATAACAGAATAGAGAATAATAATTTGTCTTGTCAAGTATATTTTATAGTAACTGAACCAACCTGTGTGGACTTTGATGAAAAGAAATGATAATTTAAAGTCATGGATACAACTGTGGTAGCCAACAATGTAAAGAATATTTTTTGTCTTTGATCTGTACAAATTTAAACTGGACAATTTAATTAGAATATCGGATTTAAGAATTAAGCTATTGGCTATAACTTCTTTTTTAATATTTGAATTGAATAATCGAATAATATTTTTGAATCTTTAATTTGGCCTATAATATTTCGATTATGGCATTTTATTATATTATTAGAATCTTGATATTTTAATTGAAGTTCTTTCTCAGTATTTATATGAACTTATGAGCATAAGCAAAGAAAAATATGTGATAATATTTCAACCACATTATGTCTTCCATATCAAGTGCCTATAAGGGCTTTTGCCCAATACCATTGGCTCGTCAGGCCATATGTGATATTTAGACGTTGTAGTTAGTAGTCTAGGCACTTAGCACTTGACTTGGACTTTATTATCCTAATAACAATTCATGACCTAGACACTTTTATCATAGTCTTTACTCTTGAAGTAGAGTATTTCACCATGGTTTTAATCTTTAGACTGAACCTTCTTATAAGAACCCGGAGTTTGAATCTGATCTATGAATGATGTTTTTCATGATTATTGTTTTGCAGTGTTTTGTTTATCTGTTTTGATTTTTGTATTGAACCTTATGATTATCTTGATTATAAAGCTGGAATTAAAATTTTCAACCAGAATGGTATCTTATGTGCATGTGAACTAAATAATCATGTAAAAAATGTGATGGTCGCGGAGATTAAGAATAACAGGAGGTCACCAGAAAATATTTTACTGAGCAAGACCTAAATTTCCTTAATTAATCTCAGTTGAGTTTGAAACAATGTAAGATACTATATACAAATTAAACAGAGTTAAACAGTCTTTATTTCATCAAAAACTAAATCAAAGTTTAAAAATAAGTGTACCTTGTGTGGCACCGTTATTCAGAGCTCTTAGTGTGTTTAAAACTTACCAACTTGGAAAAAATGTATATTAACTAAGGGGGTTAGGAAGCTGGTATGCCAGCATACTACAAAATTCCTCTCCTCATTATATTCAGAACAACCCTGCTGTCCTTATCAATAGAACATTTCGAGATTCGGGGACAAATAACTGAAGAGTCAGATAGTTTTAAATTGGAGAAGGTTGGTATGGGTTCTGGAGTTGGCCTTCTTGTTTGGACAACCGGGCTTGCCTGGCAAGGAGGTGGTGGGTTAATCCACATTGATCCTTTTCCAGTTGTATATGTTATCTCAGTTTGGACCCCCCTGACCTGAGAGTTTGGGTTCCCTGAAGTCTTCAGGGCCAGTTCATCTGTGGCTTCAATGATAACTTGCAATTAATGATATGGGGTTACCAACTTGGAAAAAATGATATTAACTAAGGGGTTAGGAAGCTGGTATGCCAGCATACCACAGAATTCCTCTCCTCATTAAACAGGACTTAATTGCGATTTTTGCAATTGCGATAATAATAATACTGGTTTTTACTTTAATTTTGCAAGTTTTATAACAAACGTTTTACAGCGTTCCATCGTCCGTATAAAGTATCTAGCACATGGAGCTTTGCATAAAGAATATAATAACATTAAAAACAATTCTTATATGAAAATGATTTTTCCATTTAATTAAAGTTTCAGTAAACCATCAACATTGAAATTCAGAAACATTCTGTTGCTATTATCGTGCCATAAATCGGTAAGTATTTTTTCATTATTAAAATCAGTTAAGAAATGTACTTCATAGAGTATGTCCTCAAATACAGCTGAGATATGTTTTTAAACCAAATTGCTGACTTCATCGTTTTAGATTTAAGGCCTATATTTCTGCGTTAAAGTAATCAAATGTAGTTTATAGATTTACTTGTTCCTGCTGTCAGAAAGGCTACATTGGGTCCACAAAAGAAAATTGCTAATTCATGTGAAAGAACATGCTAACTTCAGATCTCCAACTAAGTCGAATGTGTTTGAACACGCCCTATGTGAATGAGACATTGTCGTCCATTAAAATTATTATAAGGTCTTAGTAAAGTCTAATGATGAATAGGGCCTTCATATAAAAAAGTGTTTTCTCATTCATAAACTAAGGATAGAACATACTAAAGCATATTTAACAAGTAAGCTACTTCTAGTACACAATATAGACAGAGGCACAATGTATTTTATTATAAAGAGAAGAAATCAAGATGCTGACTACAGCTATTAAAAATACTGGATTGAACTGATTTTATTCCAAGCATAGTATATATTATTTCTTTCATGAAAATCCACTACGTGTCAAATACTGAAACATTTTTTCACCAGTATTACAGACCAATAATCACAATTAACATAATATCTCAACGTCGTATCATCCAGATATAATCCTTTATTTTCATTCATAAGTTACTTAATAGTTGTGTTCTCAGTGTAACTGGTTCATTTTTGTTACAAAAGACTCATGAATGACATTATATAACATCTCTATTTGTGTGAAACATAACCCACACATTTATTTATACACATATATTGCCATAAACATATATTTAAGTATTATCATTTTCACATACACTAGTAGCTGTAGACAGACTGCTTCCAGCTCAATTGTCATTACCATAGTAACCTACATGTGCTATACCTACTAGCTATGGGTCATAATGTAATGCTATCTATGAGCCATTGAACTTAACTCATTTTCTTAGCAATACAAAATAAGTAACCACCAACAAACTTTAGCTTAATTAAGACAGGATCAATATTCATGCTGTTAATACATATTTATCAATACACACTCAGGTCATTCTAGACTAAATACAATACTTCACTCTCTTTAATTAGTGTCATGGAAATATATATATAGGCATGTCCAGTGAAAGTAAGACTATTCTACTTAGATCCACAACAGGTCAACTTGCAATTTTTGCTGAAAAAAAACACAACTCTCACTGTACATGGAGAAGTTATATTTATTCAAGCACACAGTTGACGAGTTCCACTGATATTCACCTAGACAGGATAAGCATTTTTTCCAGAATATTGGATGTCATGCTGCTTTGGAAAAACACTTTATAGTTGAAGTAAGTGTTGTAATGCCCTTTCAACTGGAGTTTTTGAGCACCCAACTATCATCCTCTCTTCTAGAAACTGATGATATTCTAGACATAGTACCTACTAACACAAGTCATCGTACCTATATGATAATTTAACAGCTATCACCAGATATACTACGTATATATTTCTATGAAACTTTTTAATAGCTTGCAAAGTAAAAGTCGTGCCGCGCATGTGATCAACAAACTATTTTAACTTTAATGATGATTAATTGATAATGACACAGTGTAGTGTACATATTTCATACTGAAACACCACTCAATAGTTCATTAGGCAATATGCGCTACCTCTTTTGGTCATTGATCTTACTATCAGTGACTTTCCTAACTTTTGGTATGACAGTTAACCCCATCCATAGTGATCAGGAGGTCGTTATCGGTATCTTGGCCGACCACTAGGGCTATTGAGCATTTGTTCTTCAGGTGATTTCTTCTATGATTCACATAAGTATTTTAAACATCTTTCTACCTGTCGGCTAAGTCAAAATGATACAAAACAATATCCTCATTGTCCTCTGACTTGTTAGTCTCGACCTCTTATTGGTGGTCAAGACAATGCAGCAGAAGCTTATCGCTAAGATGTCTTTTGCTTGTCAATGTGCTCCATGGTCTTATTCGTGTCCTGTAACTGCTGTACTTTATATATCAATGGAACAGTCTGTTTGTGTATGAGATAAAGAACTGTCCAGCCAACGCTGAGCTGCTTCTAAAATACTGGCATATATAAAATGTATACCCAGTCTTCATTCTGGAACTTTTGTTCCTTGAGTATTTTATCATAACTCCTCTTTTGCTTCATGACAGCCTTCCCTAGATGTGGTCATGAAAAATAGTGTGCATCAACCAATGCAGACCTTAACCACCCCAGATATTCTTTCAGACATTGGAAAGTCAGCTCTAGGAAAGCACTGTCATAACATACATAGGGTGCAATATTTAGCAACAAAACAGGAGCGTGTTCAGGAAACAACCAGTGGCATGGTACACTATCATGAAATACAGAAAAATGTGTGTCCATTCCAGACAGTATGGCATGTATTAACAAACTCTTCGATCATCTGCTTGATAGTTTGTATTACCCACTCTGCAAAAACCATGGTGAAATACTCCACTTCAAGAGTAAAGACCATGATAAAGGTGTCTAGGTCATGAATTGTTATTAGGATAATAAAGTCCAAGTCAAGTGCTAAGTGCCTAGACTACTAACTACAACGTCTAAATATCACAGATGGCCTGACGAGCCAATGGTATTGGGCAAAAGCCCTTATAGGCACTTGATATGGAAGACATAATGTGGTTGAAATATTATCACATATTTTCTTTGCTTATGCTCATAAGTTCATATAAATACTGAGAAGGAACTTCAATTAAAATATCAAGATTCTAATAATATAATAAAATGCCATAATCGAAATATTATAGGCCAAATTAAAGATTCAAAAATATTATTCGATTATTTAATGCAAATATTAAAAAAGAAGTTATAGCCAATAGCTTAATTCTTAAATCCGATATTCTAATTAAATTGTCCAGTTTAAATTTGTACAGATCAAAGACAAAAAATATTCTTTACATTGTTGGCTACCACAGTTGTATCCATGGCTTTAAATAATCATTTCTTTTCATCAAAGTCCACACAGGTTGGTTCAGTTACTATAAAATATACTTGACAAGACAAATTATTATTCTCTATTCTGTTATTACAATGCAATCTGTAATAATGCAGCTTTAGAAATCGCCACTATACACGCTTTATGAATAAACTCACAATCACTCAGTCTAGATCTATTTCTATCTAACTAGCTTTGTCTTACTTACTCGAAATACATTTCGTCCATGTATTTTTAGCAAGACTGAGGCCTAGAACTTTCTACACACTACGAGATATATGACGTAATAATACTCAATCGAAACAACGAGAAAACTTAGAAGGTTCTAGTGACATGATGCAATAATACAACAAGCCGTGTATATCTAACAATGGGCTCCTCCTCAAGAAAAATATTTTCCATATTTTTTATACTATATACAAAGACTGTTTTCAGTTCCTGTACAAAGTCCACTTATACAGTCTGCACCAACATTTGCAGTCTCCTAGCTGGCTTCAATATAGAGCCTGTAGTTTTGGAGGTATAATGCCCGCTTCATGATCCTCTCACTGTCAATTTTACACCTCTGGATGTATGCAAGGAGATGACGGTCTTCCCATAGAGGTAATTCTGGAATTTCGGGATTGAAAATATGATAGCCAGACACTGTTATTCAATCACAGAGCAGTTCTTTTCACTACTTAACAGCTTATTACTAATGTACATTACGAGAAATAGCCCATCTTCATTTTCTTGCAGAAGTACTGCTCCAATTCCATCTGATGCATCGGCCTGAATGATTAATGGTTTCTTGAAGCCTTGCATTCTAAGGATTGGCAAGCTTCCTAACATTGTCTTCAACTTCTGTAATGCTACCTACTGTGGTTACTACAACTATATCTTGGTGGGTTACTCTTTCTTGGTCAGGTCTGCCAGTGGTGCAGCAGCTTCAGTGTAATTTGGGATGGACTTCCTATAGTATCCCACTAACTCCAGAAAAGAGCTGACCTGCTGCTTGGTCGTCGGTGCTGGTGCATCTTATATGTGGGTTTAGCTTCTAATCTTCTTTAGCTATCTGTCGGTCGTCCACCTTGTAGCCAAAAATCCAGCACATAATAGTTGATGTAGTACTTAGATGGTCTGATGGTCAGATCTGCTGCCCTCATTCGCCTGAACAGCTCTCCGAGTCTTTTCAGATGGTCTTCCCATCTGATTGTGTGGATCAGAATGTCATTTACATAATGCTTGATGTTGGTAGTTTTATGCAATATCTTTCTCATCATGTGGTTGAATGTTGCTGCTGAGTTCACTAACCTAAACAGCATCCTCTTGAACTGGTAGCACCGATTTGATGTCACAAAGGCCCTCTTCTCTTTAGATTCTGTCTCTGCTCTATCAGGATTTACCAATAACCTTTACTAAGGTCGATCTTGGAAAAGAACTTGACCCCATCTTGTTTCGCCACGATAGTCTCGGGGTTGTTCATAGGCTTAGAGATGAACTTCGTCACGAGGTTCAACTTCCAAACATCTATGCAGTAGATTGAGCTATCCCACTTTTTCACAATAACCACTGCCGAACAGTAGGCTTAATTTGAAGACTCAATGATTCCAGCTTTTAACATTACCTCAACTTCTTATGTGATCAGATCTCTAATCACAGAGCATTTTGTATGGCTTAATCTTGACTGGATCCCTGGTCGTGGTCTCGATCTTATGTTGCACAAGGTCTGTCTTGCCTGGTCTTTCTGTAAATACATATGCATACTGGCACAGGATATATTGTAGCTCTTTCTTCTGTTTGCCAGTCACGTATTTACTGGCGCTGATGTATTTGTACATCTCACCTCCACCCAGCGCTCTTAGGTCTTGTAGGTCTTCATCTTCTATGACAAAGTCATCGTCTTATGGTTCTGTGTCTAAGACAGCCACACCTACAATGTCCATCTGTGCCTAAATAGCTGCACCCATTAGTTATTCTTTCCTCTCTTCAACAGATTGACATGGTATTTCCTGGTCTTCCCGTCCACTTTCACCTTATAGTCCATTACGTTGACTACTTCCTGCAATTCAATAGGTCTCTTCCATTACATGGTGAATTTGTTGTTGTTTGTGGGTAACTGAACCAAGAGATTCTATCCAACCTTGAAATGTTGATCCTTGGCCTTCTTATCATCGAAGTGCTTCTGACTATCTTGAGCTGCATAGAAACTTCATTGAGCAAGTTGATAAGTAGTATGTGTTCCTAGCTGACCACAGTTCTTTCAATGTCTACATCGGACCTCATACTGTTCTTCCATATAGTAACTTGAAGGGTGAAAATCCTACACTCACTTGTGGGACTTCTCAGTAAGCAAATAATACTGCCTGCTGATACTGGTCCCAGTCAAGTGGTCTCTACTGGCACATCTTCTTCAGAATGCTCTTTAAGAGTCCATTGACTCTTTCACAAAGTCAATTACATCCGGGGTTATATGGGGTGGTAAAGAGCCACCTATCACAAACGCGGTTATCGGTAGAAAAATATAAAGTAAATGAATCGGTATTAGCTGAACATGTGGCGAAAACTTCTCATGTTATAGACTGGAATAACACCAAGTTGATAAATCAGGTAAATTTAAAATAAAATTGAATATCAGAGAAACTATTGAAATCGTAAAAAAAAATAAAGATAACCTATTAAACAAGGAAGCTGGTCCAACTCTAGAAATAATATAATACTCGACAAATGTTTTGTAACTCTGGGTAGTTTAAGCCTAGATGGCGTTATAGGAATATAAATAATTATGTGGGCACATAAGTCCCAACCATGCGTTTACCGTTACTCCAGAAGATGGTATCATAAGGCACTGAAACATATGTAGAATCTTTTTTAGGTAAATTTCCTACTTGTAATAATTATTTATTGTGTAATGATTTTAACGTTGTATGGCTTTTAACTGTATATAGATGTTTTACATAAGTGTCGTTTTAAATTATTTATGTTTGTGTTACTTCTTGCAAAGCAAATGCATAAAAAGATCCTTCAAAGGCATTGATAAAATGTTTTGTTGTAAAGGCTCAATAATATCAAAACATAATTAATTATCTATTATTATGTTTGATTAATAGAAATAGCGTTTTTTTTCTACAAAAACACACTGAATATTTAAAATATTGAATCAGTTATTATTTTACGAAATACCTGAAAACTTTTACATAGTACTAAACTGTCGTATCTTAGAAAGTATACACTAAACATAGCGTTGCAGTATTTAAAAAAACAACAGATATTTATGTTCTTAAGCATAAACAATTTTAAGCCCATTAAGTAATTTCTCTCGTTATAGTTTGTGTGTATTACGAAGGAATCGTGGTAATAATTTGAAATATCAGGTATGATAAGATATTTTATCTTGAGCAAAAAGGTCAAAGCCAAGAAGAAGAAGAAAAAACTTACTAAAGAATAGTGATTTGCTATAAAATGAAAACCAGTGCTGCAATCACGCAGGTCCCCAGTGGCTCAGCGGTAAGTCTGAAAACTTATAACACTAAAAGCGAGGTTTCATTATCCATGGTGGGCACAGCACAGATAGCCCATTGTGTAGCTTTACACTTAACAACAAACATCTATTTGTTAGATACAGCTGCCATCTATTGCCGTTTTAAGCAATGAATCCTGCTCTACAAATTCCAGGAGGAAATTATTTTCGTGATGAAATATTGTTTTTGGTCAAAGATTTTAAAACGGTCGAGTTCTTACTATTTCATAAATAAACAGCACAAAGATATAATATGACAAACTGAAACCCTATGTTATGCCATTTAATCATGAATAACAAATCTGATTTGTAAAGAAAAAAGCCAAATGAAGAATTTATTAATTTAACACAATAAAAAAGTGAATGTATTACAAATACGTATACGAGGCTATATGATATTTGAAATTTTCTAATTGACTGTATTTTCATTGCACTGAAACACCATCCTTGCTTGCAAAGACAATTTGCTAACAAGAAAAAACATCAATTATGGATACAATAATCAAAAACATTTATAAATTAGAACCACATATGGTTTATGTGCATACCACGTTTTGGAAAATAATAAAAACAGAAAAACTTACCAAAATCACCTACTTTCTGAAAGATATTATAACTTTTACTGCTTGCTGGTGAGGCGTGCATGTATCTAAATAACG